ATAGGTTCTAGTGTAATAATAAAAAGGAACGTTTAAATACCTTGTAAAGTTCATCATCAAACTGTGACAATTGCGCGCACTTGGCCATGACATCCTTCCTCATGAGAAAAGGAGGATGCACTTCTTCGTATCCTCTCCCTTCTAAGAAGTCTAGTGAATAGCAGATAACAGCTCGTTTAAGGCGAGCAATAAATCCTTTTAGGAAAAATCCCCTTGATCCAGCAATTTTAGCACCTGATGAGGCCAAAATATCATTTTAATACAAAAAACACAAAATTGCGTATTGAGGGAGTTAGGCCAAAAGTGAGTGTCAATCAATGCTAACCGCTCTTGGTATCCACACCACCGAGAAGCTCACAGAGGTCCACATGGTTATACAGCTTCTGACCAGGTGTAGGAACCCGCTTTTTGCCACAAACTTCAACCTCTAGATTATTTGCCTTCATATTTAAAAAGCAAAAAAAAAAAATATTTATTAATCTTACCATGAAGACAAACCTTGAAAATAAGAGAGCAACTGAATTGGAACTAACCTCATTATTACTAATTTGAACCGAGTCATGGACAAGATTAGCGACCGTTGCCAATTTGGCTTGCAAAGCCGTAGAAATTTCGAGAACCATCGCCTCTTTCTCGGTCCAGCTTTGTTTGATAATCTCTATTTGCTCAATCTGTTCAGTTGCCTCGGCACCAGACTATGTTACAAAGATACACGAAAAAACTCGTTAAAACTCAAATCCTTCATATATTACAATGAATACACCCCCAACTGTTGCATTCACACTAATACGACAGCATCAAACACAAGAATTGGTATAAAACTTCGTATTAAAGTTATTTAAAAATAATTTCATATCCTAATGTATAATTTGCACGATGGATCTAAGTCCTCTTTAACTTATTAAAAGCAAAATAAAATCGAAAGAAACTAACAATTTTGAGCTTGGCCACTTCCTTGTTTAGCTTGTTGAAGTCTCTCCGAATACCATCTAATTCATATTTACCTAAAACACATAAGATTTGATTACATCAATCAAAGCTCAATTTGTAAGGAGAGAAAACGATGCGAAGCAAAGGGATCGTTAATATACGTACCTTGACGCCATTCTTTGTCGAGCTTAATTATCTCATCAACGACTTCAACTCTTGCAAATCTCCGTCGCATAGATTCTCGGATAACCTCCGGATTTTCTCGGAATAGATCGATGTTCTCCAACATTATCTTGCTCTTGTCTGCCAATCAAAAGCAGAAACAAAGATTATAAATCACATAATTAAGCTCACTAATTATAAACAGAGATGCAACAAACGTACTTGGAACTCTGGAGAGAAGAAGATTAGTCTGGAGATGCAACAGACTATCAGTGGCTTAGTTTCGCGTCTAGGGATTTTGTGATGTGTGTTGGGATCGTTGTTCTCTATTTATTAACGCCTGGTCAATAGCTTGCGTCGGAAGTTTCATTTATTAATTGTCGGTTTTACTTATTTGGAAATTTCCTTTTACATAAAAGGAATAGAATTAGTTCCTTTTTTCATATTTAAATTTTTTATTAGACAATCAATATGTTGAAGGATA